TTTTTTTTTTTTTTTTTTTTTTTTTTTGGTACTGGGGATCAAACTCTGGTCCTTACACTTGCAGAGGCAGGCGGCGGAACCACTGAGCTAAATCCTGGCTATTGGTGGTTTATTTTGCCTTGCAAATGCTTTTTAATAAGATGTGGTTCCAGTTGTTGATTCTTCATGGTATTTCCAGTGTGATCAGAGTTTTGTTCATAAAGTCTTTGTCTACACCAATGTCTTTAAGAGTTTTACCTATTCTATCTTCCAGCAGATTTGGTATTTCTGTTTTTTTGTTTTTTGTTTTTTCTGCGCTCAGATCAAGTGTAGAAACCGTCATAGTTAAAAAGGTCGGTCATAAAATCTTTTCATCATTGCTCAGAAATGATTAGCCTTACACACACACACACACACACACACACACACACACCATAGCCTTTACTGTTTTAAGTTATTTTACAGATATGTTTCTCAGCTGGAAGGTCTTCTGATACTCAGATTTGGCTATTTTCATCAGTGTTTCTGTGTTAATATTTAGATCTTTGATCCATTTCAGTTTTACTTTAGTGTATGGTGAAAGATATAGGTCTTCTTTTAATCTTTGGCATGTGTAAAGCCAGTTTTTCCAGGACCGCTTATTAAAGAGGCTATGTGTCGACCAGTGAAAATGTTTGGCTCGTTGGGCAAAGACAAGATGTCTTAGTGTGTTTGAAGTTGTTTTTGCACCTTGTAATCTGTTCCATTGATCCTCAGGTGTGGTGTTTTGTTTTGTTTTGTTTTGTTTTGCCAGTACCTAGTTGTTGTTTTTTAATCACAGTAGCTTTGGAGTATAACTTCAAAATAGGCACTGTGATGCCACCTGCTGTGCCTTTATTGCCCAAAATTGCCTTTGCTATTCCAGGTCTCTTCTGATTCCAAATGAATTTTAGGATTGTTTTCTCTAACTCTGTGAGATATGCTATTGGTATTTTGATTGGGATTGCATTAAATCTGTACAACAATTTTGGAGTATGATCATTTTCACTATATTGGTTCTTCCTACCTTAACAACAGGTCCTTGTGCTTGCAAGGCAGGCGGCAGAACCACTGAGCTAGATCCCCAGCCCTATAATGTCTTTCTTAATGAGTCTTGGCTTGAAATCTACTTTGCTGGCAAATAGAACTGCCACTCTTCCTTTTTTCTGAGTTCCTGTCATATTAAGTATTATTTTCCATCCTTTGACTTCCACTCTCTGAATTTCTTTTTGGGTTAAATGTGTTTATGCAGCATACTGTTGGATGCTTCTTGATCTGTTCTGCCAGTCTGTTTCTTTTGATTGGTGAATTGAGACCACTTACATTGATGGTTATAACTGATATATATTGACTTATCCTTGTCATGTTATTTTCTGTTGTTAGTCCCCCCCACCAACTTGTCTGGTGGATTCATTCTCTTGGGTTTCATATTGTTGTAATGCTCATTATCTCTTTCCAGAATGCCCTTTGGAACATTGTGGAATGCTGGTTTGGTGATCAATGAATTTCTTCAGGTGTTATCTGTCATGGAAGTAACTTATTTCTCCATCATTTTTGATAGATAGTTTTGTGGGGTACATCAATCTGGGTTGGAGACTGTTTTCTATTACAGCTTGAAATTCTTCAAACTCTCCTTCACTTGAAGGTTTGCGTTGAAGTCTGTTGTGATTCTGATAGGCGTTCCTTTATAGGTGATTAGTTTCTTTTCTCTAACAGCTTTTATTTATTTTTTTGAGACAGGGTCCTAGCTATGTAACTCAGGCTGCCCTCAAACTCATGGCAATCCTCCTGCCTCAGCCTCCCAAGTGCTGGGATTACAATGTGCCACCATGCACAGCTCTAACAGCTTTTAATGTTGTGTTCTTTTGTTGGAATTTCTGGAATCTCGATATTATAGGCCACGGTGTAGATTTTTTTGATCATGGCTAATTGGAGTTCTATATGCCTCACTTATCTGTACATCAACTTTGGTTTCTATTGTGTTTTTTTGAGACAGAATCGCACTATTTGTTTTGGCTGGCCTAGAACTCACTAAATAGCCCAGGCTGGTCTCAAACTTATGCCAATCTTCCTTCCCCAGCTTCTCAAGTGCTTGGATTATAGCCATGCAGCACCATGCCTGTCATGTATGTCAAATCCTTTTCCATGCTTGGGAAGTGTTCTGTCATAACTTCTCTAAATAGTTTTTTTTTTATGTTCTTAGCACAATCTCTTGCTTTTTCATTGACTTTGATCAATCTTATGCTATTCTTCTTTGCATTATCTAGCAACTATTGGATTGATTTTCATGGTCCCTTGCTATTTTTAAGAAATCTTTCTCTTCATGATTGCTAACCACAATCTTGTTGTCTATATCCGATATTCTGCCATCACATGGCTCATTCTGCTGTGTATACTTTCAATGGCATTTTTAATATCCTGAATATCTATTTCAATCTGTTTCATGTATTCCATTTCTTTCCTATGTTGCACATTCTTTTTTTTTTTTTTTTTTTTTTTTTTTTTTTTTTTTCGGGTACTGGGGATTGAACTTGGGACCTTGCACTTGCAAGGCAGGCGGTAGAACCACTGAGCTAAATCCCCGGCCCCTACATTCATGTTTTTTTTTCACTTTTCTGAGTTCCTCTGTTTTTTTTTTGGGGGGGGGTGCTCTGTACCTGCTCAGAATCACTATGTCTTTCATTATGGCCATCACCTCTGTAGTTGTCTGAGAAGCTATTTTCTTTTGGTTTTTATTTTGTTTGACTTTTTCTAGAGCCTCGTTCATCTACTTTGTGATTTCCACTGTTACCACTTCAGAGAGTCCAGGTAGGTAGCTTGAAATTGTTCTACCTCATTGCCCCCGGGTTTGCCATTGGTGATCTGGAAGTCTAAGGTTTCATCTTGCTTAAGTGTCTTCTCATTTTCTTTTTAGTTTAATCCCCGAGTTGATGCTTGTAAGTTGCTTATGGCAGGGATTTATTGCTTACTGCTAATATCTTGGACTCTCCTAGGAAATAACTACTTCTCAGAGATGTCTTCCAGGTGTAACTGGCTTTTGGGTTTTGAGTCTGTTGCAAGGTTCTACCTCTTTAATTTATAAGGAATGAGAAGTTGCTGCCTATTTGGGCTAGCCCTTGCTCTTTGCCACAGACCTATAGTATTATTTATGGCCCTTAGGCAATTCCAGCATTGGCATACCAGGAAGAACAACCGATTAGAACAATTATGTCACCTTGGCTAAAGTAGTACAATCAGCAATAAAAATAGCATCAAACATAGCCTAGAAGATAGAAAACTGTGGTAATTATTAATTTGCCACTTATATTTGTGGTTATATTACAAAGTCAAAACAAACCAGAAAATTGTATATAGTAAATATGCCCTCAAGATGTGATTTTTTTTTTTTTTACCCTTAGGGGAGAACATCTAAAAGGGGCCAAGGGGGGAAAAATAGAGAAAGAGAAAGAGATTACGAGGAAGGCTGAAAGACAAAGAAAGATTATGTGAACTTTGGGAAACTGGTGAAGAAGACAGGAGGGAAAGAAAAGGAAGAAATAAAAACAAGAACAGAAAGAACAACAACAAAAAAGCTAGAAGCAATGGTCACACTCATAAAAACAAGAGCAGATAATGAAGAAAAACAAAAACAAAAAGAACAAAAGAAGAAAAAAATGTCCATCTCAAGGTGTGTCTCTGCTGTCACTGATAGACAAAGTGGGCAGACAGAGCCCAGATCTGTGTTAATCCCAGAAAACCAACTGTAGATTCATGGTGAGGTAGTGCATAATCCCAGACAATCTCTACCTTTAGTTCTACTGCAGTTCAGGCTGATTTCTGGCTGTGAGGCTGGAACCTGATTTGTTCAGCCCATCACACTGTGTGCCTCCTGCCAGCTTGAATTCAGCTCCTTGACAGCTTGAACTTGGCTCTGTGACCTCCTTCCGATTTGAATTCAGCTCTGCCTCACCCTGACATTGGAAGCTGTTAGACAGAGCAAGACTGCAGCTGCTCTGCTTTCCAGGATCGGTCGGCCCCTTTTTAAGATGGTGACTGGCCAATTGCCGTCACCTGGGGAACATCTGAACCTGAATACCTCATCAGTCACTGTAGTCTGCTGCATCCACTGCTCCATTCCACTGGTGCATTTCTTTGTGGAGGCCTCTGGAGTCACCAGGAGTCATACTGCCTCTGCAATTTCCAGCCACTTCTCCCACACAATGAGTCGGAACTCAGGTTGAAAACACTTCTTGCCACCTCCTTCTTGTGCATTGAGGTATCTCTCATTGCTCTCCCTGTGGGCTTTAACTCTCACTTCAGATCCTTGCAGGGTCCTGGGGACCCACTTCCGTTCTTCTCTTCCTCATGTTGCTATATTCCAGCATCTGGATACCAATTCTTGTAGAGGCTGTTTCTCTGCTGTCCTTTCCTTGTCTTTCTTTTCTTTCTTTCTTTCTTTGTGTGTGTGTTGAGGTTTATTATAGTGAAAGATTTTTCTTTCAGAAAAAGAGACTATAACTGGATTTGTTTTATTACCATTCTATGCATTTTTGCTTTTTATCATTTGAAGATTTATTATTAGATTCAAAATATTTAAGATCATTATGACTTTTTGATTAAGTACCCTGGGATCATTATGAAATGACTATTAATATCACCAATAATATTCCTTGTTCTGAAATCTACCTGTCTGATATTAATGTAGCTACTCTACATTTCTTTTGGCCAATGTTATGGCATATATAATTTTTCATCTTTTTATTTTTAATATTTATAGATTTACTTTTTTGTTTTTTGAGACAGGGTCTCACTATGTAGTTGAGGCAGATCTGGAACTCACTATGTAGCACAGGCTGGTCTCAATCTCACAGTGATCCTCCTGCCTCAGCCTCCTGAGTGCTGGGATTACAGGTGTGCGCCACCACGCCCGGCCTTTTTCTTTCTTTTAGACAGGGTCTCACTGTGTAGTTCAGGTTGGTCTTGTGCAATTTAGTGACTTAGCAAGATTGTCTTAAAAATAAAGAATTAAATCAGGCTTGGTGTGTACACCTGTAATCCCAGCACTCAGGAGACTGAGGCAGGAAGATTACTGTGAGTTAGTGGCCAGCCTGGGCTACATAGTGAATTCAAAGCCAGCTCAAATTACATAGCAAGACCCTGTCTAGGAAAAAAAAATTTTTTTTTTAAATAATGGCTTGAGATGTAGCTCAATGTGAAGTCCCTGGTGTACGTGTTCGTGCACGTGTGCATGCACACACACACCCACACACCCACAGACAAAATGAAAAACAGAAAGGCAGGAAAACATATGCAAGGGGATACCTATTGTTATCACAGATAAGATGTTGAAATCATCTTACAATGTACCATTAAAGGGGGGGAATCAATTTAGCATAATTGTCCAGAGGAGATCAAAAGAGATAGAGGTAAATCTAAATAATAGAAATTCTGAGAAGAAAAATCACAAATCAAGGGAGAAAAAGTCACTATCACATAATTCAAGAGTTTCCCAGAAATGAAAGCCCAGAGTCCACCTTGAAAGGGTTCAAGGGCTTGACACAGTGCATGGAAAGACTTCTCAATGTATGTGCATTCTTGAGGAAAGGAAGAAAGCTATGATGAGGAAGCACAAAGGACCAGAACTCAACATGACTTCAGACTCCTTTTAGCAAGGGGAGATGACAGACAGGGTAGCAAAACCTCAAGATAATGAAGGAACATTTTCAGATATGAAGTCTCTCAAAAAAGAAAAATAAATTACTCCCCATGCATCCCTTGTACAGCAGATACTCTCCTGAGATAAGGTAATGAACGAAGAGGAAGAAATTACACAGGAAACAGGAGACTCAACTAAGGAAGCGTCTAGGGATGATAACACATTAGGCACTGGGAGGAACCAGTTCAGATTAGGGTGAGTCAAGAATAACTGATACATAGATAAGGTGTACAGGTCTTTAAAGACTGAGTGCACTTAGTGACACAGAAAACTAAGCCAATAAAAATGCAACAAGGGCAAAGTTCTCCAGTAGTTGAGTCTACTGCCTAGTTCAGCAGTGATAGTTTAACCAGTCATAAATTAACACTATGATTAAATTAGAAGTATTAATAGGGAGACAGGGGCTATACATGCTTACATGGTAAGCAAAAGGAAGAGAATTCAAAAGACAATGCCTAAAACTGAAAAAGCAAGAAACAGCCACGAGAACACGTTAAACTGGGACAAAGTGACCAAGAGTTGAAAAGAAGCAGAAAAAAAATAAGAACAGGAAGGCAGAAGAATCACTTGTTTTCATAACAAACCTTGCCCCTGGACCATTTATTTTCAATGCACGGTAACTAATTTTCCCCCTAAAATGCAGGATATAGAACTTTTAGCCAGCTGGACCTGAACACCTATAATCCCAGCACTCCAGAGGCTGAGGCGAGAGAATTGCCATGATTTAAGAGGCCAGTGTAGGATACATAAGAGTTCAAGGTCAGCCTGAACTACATAGTGAAACCTTGTCTGAAAAACAAAACAGCAAACCTTTTAGCCAGTGTGAACTACATGGTGAGAACTTCTCTCAAAAAAACCAAAAAATAAACCGTTTCCAAATCTTTTTAGATTTTCTTTATAGCTTATATAAATGAGAACTCCTTTCACTTTTCTGTATCTAGAAGGGTGACAGAATCAGGTGTGTGAAGAATCAGGCAAAGCTGGTTATTCCTGCATGGTTGTAGGATCAAAAGCCTTTCAGATGCAAGATGCAATTAATTACTGTTAAGTGTTCTATCTTACTTACTATTCAAAATATTATTTACTATGAAAATGTGTGGTTTTTTTTTTGGTACCGGGGATCGAACTCAGGTCCTTGCACTTGTGAGGTAGGCGGCAAAAATATGTTGTTAATGTTATACTAAAATAACTTACAGAGCTGGGTACAGTAGCATGCAGCTGTAGTCCCAGCTACTCAAGAGGTTGAGGTAGGAGGATCACTTGAGCCAAAAAGATCAAGCCTGGCTTGGAAAACATGGTGAGATCCCATCTCAGAAAGTAAATAATTAAAAAAATCAAACATACTTTAGTCCAGGGTCAAAGTTTGGCCTCAGATATATTGAATAAGAATTACTTAGCAGGAGCTCAAGGCACTGTTTAAAATGCAGAACCTGAGGCCTGTTTCAGAGGGCCCTTGGAAACTTCAATTTTCCTGGCAGGGGGTACCAGAGATCAAACTCAGGTCCTTGCACTTGCGAGGCAGGTGGCAGAACCACTGAGCTAAATCCCCAGCCCTGGAACCTTCAATTTTAACAGGACCCCTGTGTAGTATGTGGTGAAAACCAGTGCTCTCACTCAGTGTATTAATGATCCAGTGGGCTTCATTAATAGCAGTACTTAAGCATCTGCAAATGAAGGTCACTAGCAGCAAAGTAATCCTAGCAGGATACCAGTGGATAATACTGTTTCTGCCTGAAAAATTCCATTTATAAAGACTTCAAAGAAATCCACTGTATATGTAACTCAGTGCATGAGTTTATTTTCTTGCCAGAAATATTAATTATAACCTCTCAGCCAAATCTAACACAAATTATTCAATTCCATGCAGTGAATAAATTCATTTGAAACGACATCATTCCCAGAGCACCTCCTTGGAGCAGCACTGCCTGAGGCCGCCTCGTCACCCAGATGCCTTAGTCAGGTGCACTGGAGCAAGAAACATGGGGTGCACCTGGGACAGTCTCTGAAGCCTTACTTAAAAATGCCTTCTATTGACCAACTCACTGATCCTTAAGTTTTAAGCTTGTCAGAGAACTACTTAATGCCCAGTTAACTGATGTATTTTACTTTCTTCTTCCTCTTCCATTTGAGCAATATTTTTTAAAATTTTTGTGAGACAAGGGCTTGCTATAGTTCATACTGGGCTTGAACTCACTATGCAGCCTGGGCATTTGTGGAACTTCTCCTGCCTCAGCCTCCTGGGTGCTGGGATTACAAGTGTATCACATACCCAGCTGTTTGTTGAGCAACATTTTAAGGGTCAATAACTCATCCTGCTTCTTTTTGAGGGTTTATGCTGTAGGTTATCCTCTGAATCCCTGGTGCGATTTTTTCAGTATTTTGATTTCTTCAGGCTGCTTTCCAAATTTCTGCACTGTCCCAATATTAACTGATGCACCTTATCCTCTTTAGTTCCCTTTTCTTTTTTTCCCGGTAGCAGAGATTGAACTCAGGACCCTGCACTTCTCAGGCAGGTGGCACTGAACTACATCCCCAGCCCTCTAGTTCCCTTTTCTACGGGAATATTAATGTGCCAACTAACGCCGAGGTGCTGATATACTCATGAAATGTATTCCTCAAATGCCAACAAAACTGCTGGGATAGCCAGGATACCAGCCGCAGTGTGGATGACTAGTATCCTCTGAATTACTCTTTAGTATCTTGTCTTTTCCAAATGCAAAATCACTAGGATTACAGACTACACGGGGCAGAGTATTGGATTTTTTTCACGGGGTAGCGTGAGCTGTGTAGCCGAAATTGAGCCTATGGTATTTCCACAAAGGTTTAAGTGAACAAAGTGTTCATTAAGTGTCTATGTCTGAAAATGAATGAGACTCAGTACATATTTTTTAGAACTTCTCTGAGGTGAGCTTTTCTGGCCCAACCAATAAATAGCTTGGAATAGCAGCTTAAACTTTTTATCCATATCTGGGCTATATCAAAGTGTTGGCACTCTCCCAGGTGTCAAAATTTAACTTGCCATCAAAGAAAACTATAAAATGAACACATAACTTTCATTTTCTCAAAAATGGAGCAACCAGATTTATTTAGTTTAACATTTCCACTCATCTAAAGAGAAAGATGCTGGTTTGGGGATGTAGCTCAGTTGCGCTCCTGCACACAAGCGCAAGATCCCAAGTTTGATTCCCAGTACCAGACAAAAAGAAAAAAAATAGAGAAAGATGTCAAAGAAAACCTAAGACATACACACAAGTGCCCAGCCCCCTAAACTTAGATAACCCAAATAAAAAAAGTAGGGACAGGCTGGGGATTTAGCTCAGTGGTTCCGGCGGCTGCTTCATAAGCACAAGGGACCCGAGTTCAATCCCCGGTACCCACCCCTAAAAAAAAGTAGGAACAGTTCTGTTCAGTGAAGTAAATTATCTTCGCTTCTGGAAGATGTTTCCACGTCCCATTCCACGTCCTCTTCCTCTTGCAGCCACTGAAAAGAAAGAGAAAGGGTGAAGAAGACAGATCGGCACGGTCAGTGAACGGTCATGGTGCAGAGCAGCTGGAATGCCGTGACATCAGCTCAGATAGACCTCAAAGGTCACCAGGTCCAACATTACCCTGGCCCATCCTCACACTGCACAGTGAGGATGGGGACCCAGGAAAGGTGGGCCTGGCACGGACGCCTGGCATCAGAGCAGGGGCCAGAGTTGGACTCCTGCCGCCTGGTTCAGCACTGCTCTCTCCAAGTGGCTGAGAAGCAGCACGGAGAACAAAAGCGGTTTGAGAACCATACAAAAGATGAATTCTTGAGCTGGCCTGTGGTAAGCTAATAAAACATTACAGATGAATTTAATTTACTTTTTTATTTTTATTTTTTTGGTACCAGGGATCAAACTCGGGTCCTTGTGCTTGCGAGGCAGGTGGCGGCACCAATGAGCTAAATCCCCAGCCTGAATTTAATTTACTTTTAAAATTCTGAAACAAATACAGTTGAGTTAGCATCTGTTAATTGTTAATTCTGGGCAAGGGGTTTTATCACTCTGAACTTCTCTACATGAAAAAAGTATTTCATAACAGCAAAAACAAAATAACGCTCCCTACACAAAGGGTACTAAGGAGACCGCTGTTCTCTATTACCCAAAGGCTTTAGGAGCGGACCAGAACTCTCTAAGGACAGATGAAAACATTCTGGGGGCTACTAACTGGAGTCTCATCCTTCTGTGCTCTTCCAGAGCCTGGAGCTACCCTGAAGGAGGACAGTGACATACATCCACCTGCTAAAAGGCCTAGAGCCAGGGGCTGGGAGAGGCACAAACAATTCAAGAGTCAGTGTGTCGGGTAAACTCACTGCCAAGTAGCTTTTAATGCATAGCCACCTGGCTCCCACTTGGCTGGAGATGTTGCAAATTCTCTGAGACAATGAGGGCAGCACTGAGGGCGTTTTAAAGAATTATATGAGGGTGTTTTAAAGAATTATACTATTGCATTTTTAAAGTCAAAAGCTATCTCACATATAAAATATGCAGCTGAAGATACCAATGGAGGATCCATGGGCTTGCTACGTAGCCCAGGCAGGGTTTAAACTCACAACATAGCCCAGGCTGGCCTCAAACTTGTGGCAATCCTCCTGCCTCAGCCTCCTGAGTGCTGGGATGACAGAAATGCACCACCACACTGGCTTCCCTGCCCAATCTTTCCCTCAACACTAAGGAAGTTTCTAAGGACTACTCTTGTTTTCTTAACTAGTAATGTGGCAGAACTTCTCAGGTACCCAAGTAAATAACCCAACCGGGCTAACTCCTCTCAAGAACAGCCAGGTCGAGTCACCGAGTCCAGCTGGTCACACAAAGTGTGCTAAAGGAGGGATTTATTTTCAAATACAAGAAACTCTGAAGCTAGAAGTGAAGCTCCCATTAGTGGGCACGGATGGCTCAAACCTGCTTATTATATCTGGAAAGGGAGTTCCACTGTCAGCATCTCCCTAAGTACAGGCTGGTGTCAAAGCCCATCACCAAGTCTCCCCAGGAAGGCTGCCCTACTGCTTCAGGAGTCAGCTTATCCACATCCTGGTGTGGGCGCTCAGCAAACTGGACAAGAGCAAGCTGCCCCGGGAATCTTGGACAGAACTTCTGAAAAGGAAGAACTTCCCAGAAATTCATTATAGACTTATTAACTCTTTCACTAAAGACAAGGAGTCCACCTCCTTAAAGAAGTTACTTGCAAAAGACAGACAGGACAAGGCTGTCAAAGCCTCAAAGGATCGCCCAGGTCTGTGGGGAAAATGGGCAACATTGGGTGTGGAAACAGCTGAGGTCAAGTCCATCTCCGTCCCTAGGCAGTAACAGGGCCTTTTCCTAAAAAATACAAGATAAACTCAATTTTAAAAATCAGCGAAGGACCTACCTTGGGCCTTCAGAATAGCAGCCTTTCCCCGGCCAGCCCCCGAGCCTTGGTTTTTATTTTTCATGCTCTTTAACATGGGTGCATTTTTCAGCATGTCAGGCAAAATCAGAAAGCGGATCTTGCTGCCACGGATGTACACCTGCTCCAGCTGTGCCACTCGGCCATCTCTGTACGTGACTGTGATGTTGGACATCTGGAAGGGAATCATTAGTGACTAGTAAGGGTCAACAGCACCAACAGAGGACAGGGTACACAAAGAGGAAGCGTTGACTAGTGAGAGAGAAGTCTAGAAATGCACAAACTGATGTGACAAGAGAAAAGAGTGAGGAAAAACTGGTGAGACACTGCAGCAATGTCTGGTACTTACCGTGTGCACCAGGGACTGTGGTAAATACTTTACATGATTAATTTCACAATACCTCCAGGGTAGATATGGACTCTCCCACTTTTACAGATTAAAAACCAACAGAAAACAACCCCCAAGGCACATGTCCAAGGTCAAACAACTGGAATCTAGAGGATCCAGACTGGAAACAGTCGGCCTGACCTGAGTCTTGTCTCTGCTGGGTCAGCATTCAGAGTTCCTGATGGTGACACGCTCTAAATGAGGTGGTTTCAAATTGCTTGTCCAAACTGTGTCCTTGCCTGTATCTGCCTGGCAGTGAGAATGGAAAGGTACCATGAAAGTCAGGAGTGTGTGCCAGCTGCAGTTCCAACTCTCCTAGTGCTCACTCTAGAAGGCTAATGACAAGGTTCTGCAGAGCAAAGGCAGCAGTGCCTACTCCCAGGGCCTGCAAGAGCTTACACAGGGAGAAGAGAGAGCACTCGGGGACATTTAAGATGCACGGATGAGCATGGAATTACTGTAACCCAGAACAGGGCCATCACTTCAGAGACTTGAGAGGGTCATTCAAGTGTACAGATTAAGGGCTGACAGGGTTAAGGCAGCACCCTGGGAAGACAAATGGGTAGATGCAAGAGGGACAGAGGAACTCTCTAGATGAAGCCAGCCAGCGGACCTACCGGGCACAGGAAAGTGACACAAACTTGCCAATGCCAAAATAAATAGGTACCACATTTACTGTACGAAGTAGCTTATCTTATGAATGTTCTAGATGGAAGAGAGGACTGTATTTAAAGTGGTCAAGTTGTGCTAACTCGCAGGTTGCTGTTGCCATTTCATATTCACTTGCTCTTTTCTTCAAGTGCCAGGTACTCTCTGCTTGAGCATCCAGAGTGCAAAAAGACCAACAATGCTTTGGGTCAGTTATGGTGAACGTTTGTAGAACTTTCAATGATGACAAAAAGCTGGCTGCAGCGTACTTGCTATGGGTTTGTCATCACCTCTCTGAACTGTACCTGCTCTGTCTGCATGGTTAAATGGTTTCTGGAGCGTCAACCTACTGTCCTTGTTCTACCACCAGGGAGTAAGAAAACTACAACTTTTCATCAACATTCAGCTGCAGGTTCCTTAAATTTTCACAGTTCTAGGTTCTTGCCATCCTGTTCTTCCCTTGAAGGATGACACCATAACCACTGGTACCACAAATAAAGTTATTGTTGACTACAGGAGAGAAACTTGGATCCCACCCAGGATCCCCAGAACGAGACACACCCATGAGTTTATAGAAGACAAAATAGGTGAGGATCTCTAAGTGAGGGCCTGCTCTGTTGTGAGTGTCTCCAGAATTCAGAGTCCATCAGTTGCTTCCCCACAAGTGAGAAAAATACAGCACAACAAACCCAACACTTTCGAGCACTAACTAGACACCAGATACTATGCCAGGTGACTGATTTTCCACAGTAATTTTTATTTTATGAGATAGGGTCTAAGTCATTATGTTGCTCAGGGTAGGCTCAAACTTGAGACCTTCCTGCTTCAGCCTCTTAGAATGCTGGGATTACAGGCATGTACCACCATGCCCAGGCCCACAGTAATTTATTTTAAACCACAAAAGCCTATCAGATTCCTGCTGGAGAGATGAATGAAACAAGCCTTTTAGAGGCAAATCTGTCCCAAACCCTTACTCATGGTCATTCTGCCCCTACATGGTCTGCCTGGGGTTTGAACTGAGGTCTATCTGACTGTAAACTCACACTTTTTGTTTTGCTTTGTTCGTTTTTTTTTTTTTTGGTTTTTTGACACTGACCTGGATCTCATTATGTAGCCTAGGCTGGTCTTCAACTCACAGCGATCCTCCTGCCTCAGCCTCCTCAGTGCTGGGATTACAGGCGTGCACCACAATGCCCGGCTAAGCTCACACTCTTACAATGCCAACAGACTACTAGTACTTCCAAGAAGTGCTATAGAGCAAATTAAACAAAAAAAATGCTGTCTCAATTGCTTAACATGAAGCAAGTAAAGAAGACTTAGGAAACATAAGGGCCGGGGATTTAGCTCAGTGGTTCTACCACCTGCTTCGCAAGCGCAAGGACCCAGAGTTCAATCCCTGGTACCTAAACAAACAAACAAAAAACTTAGGAAATATCAAATCTGATCCATAGTAAAAATGTCTATTTGGTGGCTGGGCTACTGCTAAACCACATCACTCCCAGTACATACTGGGATATCTCATTCCTTCTTGTCATAATCCCCTTATCCAGCTTGAGAATTCTAGACTTAACCTAGGTGCTTTCACAAAGGCCCACGTCTGGCTGAACAGGGAATCCCAGCATCCAACAGCTCACTACTGCCCTCAGGCTTCCTGCGGCACCAGGAGAAAAGGCTTTGTAGCCCTACAGTCCTGCTGTCTGTCCTCCAGAGTGCTAATAAGCCCATGCTGTGCTTGAATCATAAAGCCAAAGGCAACTTTTGAATTGACTAGTTTTAATAAAAGGCAGGAAAACCAAGTTTAATCAACTTTCCTAAACAACCACAACAAAACACACACAGCATAAGCCAGATACCCAACTGAAATGACAATCTGGGGCCAAGATGGAAAAAGCTAGGTCCCGGATTGTGAAATAATGTTGGGATATTGGTTTTCATCCACAGTTCCTTGCTCATAATTTCCCATTCAAGGAAGGCCACAGAAACTACAATTTCTCTTCCCCAAGGCAGGTCACAGAAACTTTTATTTTCCTCTGCCTTCTGTCTTAAGAGCTGTCTATAAAGAAATTCTATGATCTACCCTGTCTGATAGACTATGAGGCTCTTATTTCAGAGGGTGACCTTGTTTCATACCCAGCAGGAAAGAACGCTACACAGAAAGACCAAGAAGAACCTGAACAGAAAGACTTTGCTAGGTCTCCCCACAATATTAATACTTCTATTAGTATTAGAAAATAACCTTTTTGGTCCAGTGCCCTTTCTGCATAGTGCCCATGTTTTAATTGTGTCTATGCAATGAAGTTTCCATGAAAACCAAAAAGGCTAGGTGTAGAGGGGTACATGCTTCCAGCCCTTAGGAGGGTGACACAGGAGGGACTGCCACAAGTTCAAGGCCAGCCTGAACTACCTAGCAAGACCCTGTCTAAAAAAAGGACAGGATTTGAGAAATTTCCAGATGCTGAATACGTGGAGACTCCTAGAGGGTGGTACACCCAGGAAAAGCTCCATGCCCTTTCTGCCACACCTCGCCCTGCACATTTCATCTGTATCCTTTGTAGTATCTTTGTAGCATCATATGCCAGTGAACCTAAGCACTCCCCTGAATTCTGTGAGCTGTTTGAACAAATAAGTCAAACCCATAAAAGGGCAGTGGGAATCGTGATTTACTGCTGGTCGGTGAAACAATCCAGGGCTCGTAGCTGGCATCTAAAGGAGAGCTGCAGTCTTGGGGATGAGGCCCGGCAACACCCCACAGGGTCAGAATGGAATTAAATTAGGGGACACCCAACTGGTGAACTCCGAGGAACTGATACCTGGCTTGGTGTGGGAAAAAACCCTACAAAGCTGGTGTCAGAAGTTGTGAGCGTGGGCTGGAGATTTAGCTCAGTGGTGGTGCCGCCGCCTGCCTCTCAAGCACAAGGTTCCCAAATTCAATCCCCAGTACCAAGGTGCGGGGGTCATTGTGAGCATACAGTAGGAGAGACTGAGTCACCTGGTCTTTCCTTCAGAGGAGGCCTCCTGTCACATCAGAAATGTACAGATTTTTAGAACAAATTTCACACACATATACTTATAGATGCCCACTCAGTTGCCACTGATTTAAGAGAAATACCAACTGATGCCATCTACCTATCTCTGCTCTTCGGAAACACACATAAAAGTATTATGGGACTGAGGCAAGAGGATCGTCTTGAGTTCAAGGCCAACTTGGACTACACAGTGAGACCCCCCATCTAAAAAAAAAAAAAAAAGTATTATGGGATAAAGGAACGTGAATGTAATCCCCTCTAAAACAGTTCAATCCTCCCTCACAAACACAAGGACCCAAGTTCAATCCCCGGTACAAAAAAAAAAAAAAAGTATTATGGGATAAAGGAACGTGAATGTAATCCCCTCTAAAACAGTTCAATCCTCCCTCACAAACACAAGGACCCAAGTTCAATCCCCGGTACAAAAAAAAAAAAAAAGTATTATGGGATAAAGGAACGTGAATGTAATCCCCTCTAAAACAGTTCAATCCTCCCTCACAAACACAAGGACCCAAGTTCAATCCCCGGTACAAAAAAAAAAAAAAAGTATTATGGGATAAAGGAACGTGAATGTAATCCCCTCTAAAACAGTTCAATCCTCCCTCACAAACACAAGGACCCAAGTTCAATCCCCGGTACAAAAAAAAAAAAAAAAAAAAAAAAAAAAAAAAAAAAATCTAGGTATCTGAAGAAATTCAATGTCACTGCATTCAGAAATTTAAAAACCTAGGGCAGGGGATTTAGCTCTGTGGTTCCACCACCTGCCTCACAAGTGCAAGGACCCAAATTAAATCCCCGGTACCAACACCCCCCCCCAAAACAAAAACAAAAAATCTTCCTGGTATTGTTACAGGTAGTTTTTTTTTTAACTAACCCAATTATGGGCAAGCTTTTTTTCTGTTATCACTTTAGAACACTAAACTCCACCTAGAGACCATTTTTCTACAGGAGGTTTCTGCAAAAACTAAAGCCAAGAAAAGAGGCACAAACTCCTCCACAGTGGCACATGTCAAATGCATTTCCAGAAAGAAAATAATCTGCTCTTCTACTGACAGTTAGCAAAGAGCCTTTGGCAGCCTTGTTTTGTTTTCAATTTTAGATATTCTTGCTATTCACCAATTTGCAAGTCTGGTTATTAATAAAGTCTTTTTTTCCTTTCCTCTTTTTTCTTCCCCTGCATTGCTGAAAATTGAACCCAAGGCCATTTATATATTTTTTCTTCTGTGAATCACCCATCCATTTTATGACTGGGTCCACTTCAAATCGGGATAGTAACATTCTTGACTTGCAAAAACTATACATTAAATAAATATAATAACCTTTATCATAAAAATAAATCATGAGATGTCCTAAGTATGTGAATAGTGACAAATGAGTTAGAAGACTCCTAATGTTCACTGAGAATCTACAAAGGAACTTTGGAGAACCATTCACAGTAGAATTGTAATAAAATCTACAGCCATCAAGTTTCCCCCCAAAGGCTACATATAGTTTAAGTTTACTCTATAAAACAGAATCATGTGCTTATTCCTTCTCATCATTCCTCACCTTAAAGCACTTAGGTTTTTAGTGGGATGCAACTCAGGACCTTGCGCTTGTAAGGCAGGTGGCAGAACCACAGAACTAACCCCACCCCCCGTTGGATGGTTTTTAATCTTCTAGCAAACATCTGACTAGAAGCTTTTTTCCCCTCAGTGCTAGGGACTGAACTCAGGGCCTCACACATGCTACTGCTCTACCACCAAGTTACACTCTTAGACTCCTTCCAATATTTTATTTTGAGACAGGGACTTGCTAGGCTGTAAATGCCTAGGCTGACCTTAAACTTGTGATCTTGTCACATCCTCAGTAGCAAGGATTACAGGCATACACCACCACATTTCTTCCTACAAAACATTTTTTTCTTCTGTGTTTGAAGAAAAACCCCTCAGTTCCTACTGCCATTTAACAAAGGTAGGATGATTCAGGCCCACTCACAGTTGAGTACAGACAGGAATAAAAACTTCCTCATTTGGGGACCTCTTGTTCTAAATTATCTATCCTCAAGCTGGGCAAAATATTGGGTATGTCCAATTTCTGCATCCAACAAAAACTGGCTCAAAAGAACCATGTGGAGAGTTACAAGGGCCCTTGCTCACCATCACCCATATAGTGTCCTTAGGGGTGGCTCACAGTGACAAAACAAGGGCATTAACCCACCGTCAACATTACAACCTGCAGTACTGGCCACTAGACTGTGCATGTCTTGAAGTTGTGGGGTTTGGTAGGTGGGAGAGCACAGCTCTCTGCCCTTCTAGCTAAACCTCAGATACACAGAAGTACGTACAAAGTACCCCAAAGTACCTCTGACCCACAAAGTACCATTCCAGAGACTTCATTACAGGTTTCATGCATGGGTGAATAAATAAATAAAGCTAAACATTACATATAACCACCTATCTTTAAAACACCCAAGGGAACAAGGCATGGCAACACATACCCATAATCCCAGTACTCTGAAAGGTACAGGCAAGCGTGTCACAAGTTCAAGTCCAGCCTAGACAATTTAGTAAGACATAGTCTCAAAAGAAGACTGGAAGGTTACATGTAACCCCATATAAGGGAGCTGAGGGGTAGCTCAGTGGTAGAACAGTTGCTTAGCATATACAAGGCCCTGGGTTTGATTCTCAGCATTGCCTCCCCACCCACAGAATTCCTACCATACAATTTTTGTAATCTATCTCTAACTTCTTTCAAAGTATTTATAAAATAAACATCAAAAACCCAAAATACATGCTGGGAAGGTCGATGCCAGTAGTGGTTATGTTTATTTATTTTTTTTGGTACCGGGGACCTAACTCAGGTCCTTGTACTTGCGAGGCAGGCAGTGAAACCAGTGAGCTAAATCCCCAGCCCTAGAAAATCTTATTAAAACCCAGTATCAAGCTGGGCACAGTAGTGCACACCTGTAAACTCAGCTACTTAAGAGGCTGAGGCAGGAAGATCACAATTTCTAGGTCAGCCTGAGCAAGTTATTGAGACCCTAAAACAAACAAACAAAAAAAGGCAAATCAACCAACCAAGTGACCACAACCACTACTACCACCACCAAAAGATCCAACGTCAAATATCAAACACTAAACTCCAGCTACTGTCTGGTATAGAACAAGCAGGGAAAGTGTTAGGAGGATGCCCTCATTTCCAAAGGTCAGTCCAGGAAGGAAAGATAGCAGGGGGTACTGCAGTTGTCCTGGGCCTCATAGTCCCTGAGAATGAAGCGCTCAGTGTTCATCCGGGCCAGCTTAGCTCTACACAGTCTGCTGGGTTTTAGTCAATGTGCTTAGGTTCTGGCAGATTCAGCAAAGCCTTGTCATTTTGACTCAAGCAGAGTTATGGGCTGAACTGTATCCCTGCAAAAACTCACATGTTGAAGTCCTAAGCCCCAGTATCTCAGAAGATGAGCATATTCAGGGAATCTTTACAATTAAGTTAAAAATGAAGTCATAATACAATATGACTATAAGAGATTTGGACAGAGACGCTACAGACATGTGAAGACACAGGGAGAAGACATCACCTAAGGTGAAAAGAGGTGGAATATAGCCCCGCTTCACAGCCCTCAGAAAGAACCTACCCTACCAACACACGAAAATGACTCCCAGCCTTCAGAAATGTGAGAAAACAGATTTTTGCTGTTTATGCCACCCAGTCTACAGAATTTTGATAAAGCAGCCCTAGCAGACTAACATAGGGAGGGAGGCAGGTGACTGGGCCCCCATCAGCAGTGCAGCATGTGACATACATCTACTCATTTCCTCTGTACTGTGGCTTAAAGTCAAGATGCTATTTTTTATCCCTGACTTAGAGGAGAGACCAGAGGGACAGGGAAGTATAAAGTTCATCCTAAAATAACATTAGGTAGCACACTACAACCCAATCCTGGGTCTTTCTAATTCCACTGTTGGTGCACTTTGCATATGTGTGCTTTGGATCTGAGATGACCATGGCTTATTGGTCAGACACGTTCACATTATACATGGGATGTCTTGAGGCCCCAGAAACTCTTGAGGTAAGTTATTCAAATAAATGAAGTATGTGAATAAACACATGAAGAGTCACTACACAGACTCAGCTGTGATGGCACATGTATGTAACCCCAGTACCCTACGAGGCTGAGGCAGGAGGGTCACAAGTTTGAGCCCAGTCTGGGCAACTTAGCAAGATCCTGACTCAAATTAAATTAAATTAAACTGAAAAGGGCTGGGGAAGATGCCTTAATCCAGAGGACTGGATCTATGTAGTTGGCACTTTACAAAGACAAAAAATTACTACAGGGCAGACCTTTATACCACAAAGCCAGTTACACTTCCCTGCGCCCTTCTGCAGAAAGAGATCAGGTGACACAGATCTCCACAAAGCTCATACCATCCATCTCTACAGCACTGCCACCGATGAGGTAAATCTGCGTCACCAGATATCTCCTTCTCTGCGTGCCAAGGAACTGCCTGAGCTGGTTAACCGGCAGAAAGACAATATATGCTCAAAGCTGCAGATAAGTCACAGACAACAGGCTGTGAAGAGTGCAGGGAGCTGACAGCCTCCAGGTATCACCTTTGGAATCTGTCACAGCATTCACCCTGAGGCTGCTCTTCAAGGCCACCAGCCAGAGCCTCACCAGTGTGGGCATGCTGAAGCCAGGCCATTTCTGCGCATGCTAGACTCCTCATAGGAGCAATCTCTGCCTGGCTGAGATTCCCTTGGAGCTATGATGCAGCCTGAAGCTCTTGCTGCTCAATCTTCTCTCCTTTTCCCAGTCAGATCTGCAGCCCAGCTCTCCTGTCTACTCTGGCTCCCTTGATGTTATCCTTTTTCGCCATTTTCCTAATAAAGTCTTGCAATCTAATTCTGAATTGGCAACTGCATCTCAGAAGACCAAAATAACACCACCCCACTTTACTGAAGAAAATGAGGTGATTAATATACCTAAGGGCACGTGATCAGAATTCAAACATACATTTCTCTTTGATTCCAAAGCCCAACTACTTCTTAACCAGTAGTCTCAGAGCAAGGAATATGTACTGATACTTTATAAAGTAATGCTATAAAAATCCATAGGACTATATAAAAGATAAAGTAGTGCCATTTCCATCTCAGAAAGCCGCTTCATTGTCAGAGGAGGGAGACTATGTAGATGAATCCTTTAATCTCATTCTTTATTTTTGTGGCACCAGGGAATGAACCTGACGCATGCTAGGCAAGTGCCCACCACTAAGCTACAGCCCCAGCCCATATATTCTTCCTTTATGGATTGCAAAATTACTGACAAACCTGTTTACTTCACAAAGCAGTTACAATAATCAAATGAGACTTCTCCTTCAAGAAAAAAGGCAAATACAGGATGTAAATTGATTTTGCTAACTGCAAAGCATAAGTAAAGGTAAGTGGATAATGGCTCTAAACCACAAAGGGAATACAATCACTTCTCTCAATTAGACCCCTAAAAGATAGCATGATGGAGGAAAACAAAAGACAAAATCTAATATAGTAAGTCCCTGAATTACGAATGAGTTTCATTCTGGAACATTCCTAAGTCCAATTTGTTCTTAAGTCTTGACAAAGACTTGAGATCTTAAGTCTTGACAAAGTGAGTCTTACACAGTACACCTGTGAAAGTTTGCAGCTTGAAGGTTTGTAAGTCAGGAACTTACTGCAAATAGCTTCTCTGCCTTAAGATTCTCTCTTATTTGTGCACAATGTCCCAGAGGCTATTAAGAGTGCCTGACACACACTGGGCTTTCATTAAATAACTGCTGAATGAGAACAACCTCATAAAGGTCTCCCATCAGCAACTTTCTGTCCCGAGACACAGACCCCAAGTCCCCTACATCGTCAGGTGCAAAGCAGAGTGAGTACCTGGCAATTCATGTTGTCCTCCGCTTCAATAAGCTTCCCCCGATATACTTCACCAGTGTTTGTCTCACATGTCACAATGTGGCCCTCAGCCTCATGCAGGACTTTAATCGGCACACCAATAGACATCTTGACAGGGAGAGAATTCTATACAGAGAGAGAAACAAAAGTCAGTTTATCTTTGTGAGGCCTGAGAAAGCCTGGCACTCCATAAAACTTTGCAAAGATGAGCCAAACAAACACTTAACACATGCTGGCTGTGGTGGTTAATGACTGTGATTCCAGCATCTGGAGGCTGAGGCAGGAGGACTGCTGCAAGTTTGAAGCCAGCCTGGGCTACAGGATAAGGACAGCCTGAACTACACAGCAAGACCCTGACTCAAAAACAAAAACCAAACAAACACCAAAACTTTACTTTCTATATAAAGAGGTAAGCTACTGACTTGGAAAACCCTATAAGGTAAACAGATGTGGGCAGGATAGTAACTTGGACAAAAGGGAAAGCTAGGGCTGGGGATTTAGCTCAGCGGTTCGGAGGCCTGCCTCACAAGTGCAAGGACCCGAGTTCAATCCCCGGTACAAAAAAAAAAAGGAAAGCTAACCGTAAAGAAAAAAATGTCCACCTTCTCCCTCCCCACTGAGCGTCCCTTTATCCAAACCATTAACCAATATTGTATTTATGTCGTGGGGAAAGGAACAGAAACACATCTGCAGAATATACTGCCAACCCACCATTGTGGTTGACTGCAGTTTGAGAATCATTACATACACTTAAGCTGTTCAGTAGTCATTGTCTATATACAGCTACTTAAACAGAATAAAAAATGCAGTCCTCAGTCACACTAACCATATTCCAAGCTCAACAATTACATGTGGCTGGTGGATATGGTACTAAGTGGTACAGACAGACCAAAGGGCCCAGAATAATCTGAGAGGAAGCTGCTTTAATGAAGTCTTTGATTCTCCACTTATTTTTCTACCAAGGTTAAAAAGAATAGAAGCTAGTTTTTTTTGCTTTGTTTTGTTTTTTTTTGGTACCTGGGATGGAACTCGGGTCCTTGCGCTTGTTGAGGCAGAGGCAAAACCAATGAGCTAAATCCCTGGCCCAAGGCTAAAAAGAAAATATCAAGGTGTTCATATAATCAGGAAAAGTGCTTGACTTGATCTAATTTAAAAAGGGCTCAGCCCGGCATGGTGGCGTACACGCTTGTGATCCCAGCCTTCGGGAGGCTGAGGCCGGAGTATTGCTGTGAGTCCGAAGCCAGCCTGGGCTACATAGTGAGTTCCAGGTCAGTATCAACTACATAGTGAGACCCTGTCTCATTGAAAAAAAAAATTAAAAAAAATAAAGGGCTCTTTATTCTAAAGAGATAGTTGACTCAAAATTGGAACATATTACATGTGTACAAGAGACAAAGGGAACGAAGGTGAGGTTGGCAAAGACAGACTCCTTGGTGAGGGCCCTTGGCTTTCAGCTTTAGAATTTTGCATTTTATATTAAAGACAGCAGGGATTAAAGGTAGGGAAAGAAAAAAACTAGAAGCATGCACAAAATGAATAGAACGTACAGCTTAAAAACAGATAAACATATTAAAACTCCTGAAGGGTGGAAAGCATGAGACCACGGCCAGAAAGGGGACTGGACGCAGAGGCGTAAAGAACGCCATAAAGGATGACCCAGATAGGACATCTGGGACAGTAATAATTTAAAAAATGATTTCAAGATTACTGCCTGAATGTTTCCAGAAGCAGTGACCTGGAGAGGTACAGGAAGTGAAAACCATTTACTTTGGGGGAAAGCTAGACTGTTAAAAGCGCTACTGAGACGGACCCGTTTGCGGGGGCCCGGCTTCCCGCTTCCCTTCCCCCAACTCCTCAGCAGCACAGCTTCTCTAGGCTCACGGGCGCCTCAGCCTCCCCTTGCCCGCCTTTTCTCACCGACTGGAGTCTCCTTTTCCTCTTTCTCCTCTTTGGCGCGAGAACCTAGCACGGAAGATACGAAGCTGCAGGCGTGCAGAAGGCGAATGGCGGACCCCGCGCTCCCAGAATACCACGCGTTCCCAAAATGCAGTGCGCAGGGCCCGTTCCTTTCCTTTCCCCAGTGGTAAACGAGGTCTAGCCTCCGCTTCCTCCTCACTCCGCCGAGTTGGAAACAAGGGCTCCGGTATTATGGTTCCGGAACAGGAACAGAGGAGGCTGACGACAGGGCCCGGGGGCGGGGGAGCGGAAACACCGACCCTTCAACCCCCAAGGGAGCTCGGAGGCTCACACTGCCAGGCACCCTACATCAAGGACGGGCTGATGATGGCAGGCGGGGATCTGGGTCCTGGGCCCTCTTGTCGGAAGTGGCAAGAAGTGGGGAGAAGAGCTGGAACCTCCCTTCACAATATGACTTTTGAATCCCACCACCACCAGGTAAGGGGTACTCAGAGCAACACGAGGTATTTCGTCCTATAGATAGAGAAACAGGTATGGAGGAGGAACTGGCCTGGGGCAGTCCCTAACAGGAGTCGGAAAAGGGCTGCTTGGAGCCTCTGTGAGGCATTGGTGGGACCAGGGATAACACCTGAGGCTGCAGAGGGATGAGCCTGGCGGAGAGGGAGTTTGCTAAGGGGCAGAGTCGCTGAGGAGCCAATGTTCGCTATACGCCGGGGCTCCGGGGCGGGACTCAGAGAAAGGGGCGGGGTCCTGGGACTCCTTGTGGAAGGGCCTGCGCGTCTGCGCCGAGGGGCGGGGCCACCGCAAACCGAGACTACGAATGGCCGGGGCGGGTTTAAAGCAGGAGGCCGGGGCCTCTGGAAACTGAACTCGGGGAAGGGGCGGGGCTTGTCAAAGGGGCGGGGCCTCCGCGTCCCAGACCTGGAAGGGACGGGGCGGGGCTTGGGGTGGCCCAGCCGCCCACTCCGGCGGAGGAACGCGACACGCTCTGGCGGTGTTCCCAAATCTGCAGAAGTCGAAG